GCAAAAGGTAGACAAAAACGCTTGTCTCCCCCGAACAGGGATTTAAAAAAAAATCTTTAAGAAACCATATTTTTACAAAAAACTCCTTTTTTGGTGGTATTTTCAAATCGGTCCAGCTCACGTAAATCTTAGTATTTTTCCGAAGTATTTTGGTGGGCGTCATAAAATATAATAGATCTTATAATTCCAATGGAAACAGTACCGATTTGAATTTTTTGTATGGGGAGTGATGCAGTCTACTTAAAATTAATAACATTTTAATATTTTATGAACTATATTTTATTTATATACCAAAATGTTGTTAAAAATAAGTACTGTGGCGTTTAGAAGTATAGCTGTTACTTACCTTCATAATTTTGATTAGCATAAAAGTGTGCTGAAAAGTACTGATCTTTTTAGCATGATTTCGCGCAGAAAAATCTGGAAACCCTAATTGTATTGGCGGTGCCAACGCCCACTTCTCCAATGCCTACCACTTTTCGCCATAAGTGGGGTATTTGCAATTAATGCATCCGTGCCAAGTTTCAGTTCCCCAGCGTAATTTCTTTTAGGGATTTGTATATTGGCGCTCTCATATTTATGTATATATAGATATCTATCATTCTCCCAGTGTATACGAATTTTAGGAATATCTCGGCTGCAATGCCACCTATTTATGTATACGTAGTAAGTTTTTAGTCTAAATACTTATTTTCAATTATCTAAAAGTTTTCTAAATAGGAGCCAAATCGGCAAGTAAATGCAATTTATAGGAATATTCGACCCTAGCGCTACCTGGCGAGTGCAGGTACGAATACATATTTTCAAGGTGCTGACAAATATGAACCAAATCGGGCCAGCCGATTTGTTGTTTAGTGGCATTCAATGTGCAACAAACTCTATGAAATTGTGAAATCGTTACGTCTCAGATTTCTTTTATATATATAGAAGAAGAAGAAGAAAGGTATTCGTTAAAAATAACATAGCTTTAAAAAGCTTTGTAAATGATAAATTACGTACAATTTATGATTTACAAATAATTAAAGTCTATTTTAATCTTTATGAATAATGCTCTTATTCGTAAAAAATACGCAAGTACATTTCGATGGTCCTCAGCAATAACGACACAATTAAAAATTCAAAAAATAAAAGCTCTTACCACTTTTAAGAGGCTCATGCCTCTAACACTTGTCTAATCCTTACTCCTTCCTGTAGTAATCCTTAGTGCTTACTTTAGTAAGGATTAGAGACATGAGCCACTTAACTGTAGGAAGGGATTTTATTTTTTGAATTTAATTGTATCGTTATTGCAGAGGACCATCGATGTGTACGTGGAATCAATTTGTAAGAGTGTAAAATATGTAAATGAATGAGAGAAGAAGAGGAAACTTGTTGGCGAAAATTTTAGAGAAATAGGTGATCGTTTAGGCGTTATGTATTGCGCACCTGAAATACATATTCGTCAAAAATATCGCCTATTTTCCACAAATATTGAGCTAAATGTCTGAAATTTGGCACATACCCTTACAAATCGCCTAATGTAGGGATGCCCAAATCATCACATATGTGTCGCGGGCGACTGCGCGTGCAAGGCTTTGCACAGCTGGGCAAGCGCGGAAGCAAAAAGTGATCGGAAGGGGAAAACGAAGTCAACAGAATAGTGAAATTCAGCGTAGCCATTTTAGCCGTTTTCCGGCTAGATTTAGCCGGTTTTGATAGCAACTAGCCGGAGAAAATTCGATCTAGCCGGCAGCCGATTTGTTAGCCGGTTTGTAAAAAAAAGCCGATTTTACTATTTGCCTAATTTTCAGGAGCAAAAAGTAAACAAGTTGTTCGAAAGCAATAATGCAGACCCAATGAAGATTTTTAATGAACTCAATGTTTTACTTTCGCATCTATGCCCCCTAGTTTATTAGCGCGGACACATTTGATCCTATATGCTCCCCGTTGGAACCATACCTTGCTCCATTTCCTCAGTTTTATCACAGTTTTGAAGAGTATTTAAAAACAAAAGTAAGCACAAACGCTTTTGACCACGAAGCCGAGAAAATAATTCGAGAAAATGGTCGCTATTTTATTATCACTTTAATAAAGGAATTACGCCAACGCCTCCCTACAAATATTGCCACACTAAAAAAAATTGACTTTTTTCGGTTGGAAATGCATTAAGAGTAATTAAACCAAAAGTATTTGTTCAACTACAGCAACAAAAACACAAATATAATGCCGACGAAATAACATCCATAGAGATGCAATGGCAACGGTTAACGTTACATACCTGGAGTAATTTAGACTCAACTGTAAAATTTTGGGCCGAAGTTTATCAATTTCGAAATGCCCTAGGAGAAAACCCTTTCGCTGACCTTTGCAACCTAGTTTTTAGTTTTCTTGTTTTGCCTATAAGTAATGCAGAAGTAGAGCGAATATTTAGTTCAATGAATATAATAAAAACTAAGCAAAGAAATCCAATGTGCGTTAAAACGTTAAACGCTATTTTATATATAAGATACGGTTTAAAACGCGAAGAAAAATGCTGCCATAATTTTACTGTAGATGACGATCTCTTAAAATTAATGAATTCAGGTGATATATACAATAGTGATTTATTTGTTGATGAGGAATATACACTCGATATAAATTAATGGTGTTAACTAGTCTTTCGTTTCTTGCGATTTATTTAAATAAAGCATGTGAATTTTCACTAAAACATTTTAGCCGTTTTTTGCCAGAGTCTATGTGAAATTTCATTAAAACATTTTAGCCGTTTTTAGCCGCTTTTTTTTGCCAATCTAGCCGGTCGGCCCAAAAAGTTCTGGCAACACTGGTGAAATTGTATGTGTGACTGTGATGGAAAATGAGTGTGCATTGTGCCATTTTCGGCCCTTTCGGAAGCAGCCGGCACCTTCAGCACAATCGATTGATTTTCGGCACTATTTTTGCGTAACTCAATGCAACTAATAAATATTTCTTTCGGATCCGCAATTAAAAATATTTTTTTTTTACATTTAATCGTATGTGATTAAACTGATAAATGATATAAACATTGAAACGCAAGCAGAAGAATCTCGCTTCCACATTCTGCATATGCTCTTAACATTTTTGTTTAAATAAATTTGTCGAAAAAACTTGGTTTTTTATTTTACTAGGTAAATCATATATTTTATCGAGATCGTAAATACTAATTAAAAGTAAAGAAAAAACAATAAAAATGGTAGTCAGTTGTAGATTATTACAATTGGTTTATATAGTTTTATATAAAAATCTTAGTTCTTTCTGATAATACTGAGTAAATCACATTCTTTTTAAAAGATCATTTGGCGCTTGGCTTTTATAACGACACGTCAAAACATATTCATATATCTTAAGAACTAATTTGTAACTCAAAAGCAATAAATTGCCATCATTTGTAAAAAAAAATTTTAAATATAGTTAAATATATTATTCAAAAGTATAATTTTTTCTTAAAAATCATTGTCCTAGATTTTAATTAAAAATACTAATTTGCGATACTTTTTCGCAGTCTAGTCTTTCTCTTTTTTCGCTAATAATTTGTCCTGCATATGAAAAAATGCGTTCACATGGTACTGAAGTGGCTGATATGCATAACCGTGATTTCATGATGCGATATAGCCTTGGATAAATATGCTATGCTGGCTCCACCAGAGCAAAGGGTCGTTATTCTTTCCCTGCGCGTTTTTCCTTGGCAAAATAGGCTCAGCCAAATATTTGTCAAGTTCTACTATAGCTAATTGGTCTTGTGGACGCGTATACATGTGGACCTCAGCATCGAAATCCTTCCACAGTAAACCTTCCCGTTCTCCTTCCAATGCACTATTCTGAGCACGGTTATCAATGCCTACACTTAAATCTACTTCATTTTCTTCGTTTTGGATAATGGTATTTCCTACTTTGGTCTTTTCACAGCTGATTTATAACTAAGCTCGCTGATAAATCCAAATTTCTTAAAACGCGGGTTAAGGATCGTCGCTTGCGGTATGAGCTCATTTTGTTCCAACACTCTGAATCGAACAGTTAACTCATTTAGTAGTTTTTTCACTAATAGCTGAAATACAATGCCGGCGAACGGCGAACTCACCACAGCGAAATTCGCGCTGTCAAAATTAGAACACCCGCAAGCATATGAAATTGAACACAGCCAAAGCGAAATACGAAGTTCGCTTGGCGGCGTTTCATGGCAATAGATTTATTTCTATCGCCCTGCTGGGCGATGACAGCTGTGCGTGCCAAAGGTGGCCGTATTTGTTTTTTGCTTTCAAAATTTTAAAAGAAAACAACCTAAACATTTTTTTTTTTTGTTGTTTGAAAAATATAGTTGTGGATTCGTTAAATCTGGCTTGAAACAAATTATTTATAATAATCTTTCTTTGTTTTACATTTATATTTGTTATCATTTCCTCATTTCTAAATATGGTTTAGTTTTTTCTAAATATGGTCACCCAAATTATAAAGGCGACCAAATGGGATCAGCTGTTTTCGCTACCGCTCTAATTCTGTTTAAGTAGGCGAAATAGCTGGGCGAACGGTGAACGACAGCATCGCCCAATTCGGCGAAGTTTGCCGTTCGCCGGTATTGTATTTCAAGCATTACTTTTGTGCAAATGGTGTAAGTTCGTTGGTGTTTAAAGTCTTTAAGTGTTTATCCAATTGTTTAACATATAAAATTACTGTCGAAGCGCTAACATACTTTTCTCCGCTAATTGTAGTAGTCACAACTTCGAACATCTCCATAACATCCATGGTTTGTTGCGCAACTAACCATTCTTCATTACTTAATAAATCTATACTACACAGTCCAATGGGTTGGAACGTCGCTCATTAATTTGCAAACGGGCAGTTCCATTCTTTTTGTCGTGGCATTAAGCTGTGAATGCGCATACGAACTTTGTTTGAAAAGCCTCACAATTGCCTTTACTTTGCCAAAACCGGTTGAATTTCTTTCAAACCTGACTGTGCTACCAAATTTAGGCTATGCGCAAAACAGCCCCAATGCCTCCACCCACCTCTTCGCACCGCCGCTTTCATATTTACCGCGTTATCTGTAGCAATTACTGTGATTTTATGGCATAAATCCCATTCTTGCAAAATTTCCGTCAGTTTCTTTGTTATGTTGTCACTAGTATGCAGCTCTGTATATGAAACGCAGCTTGACAAATTGGAAGCCAGAAATGTGCACTGGTTATCTTCAACGATATAGTGTGCAGTAACGTTAATAAAGCTATCTTGCGCACGAGATGTCCACCCATCTACCGTCGAACACACTGCATTTGCTCTACCCAAACGCTGTTTTACTATTTCGACGGTTTCACTGTAAGTTGCTGGAACTAATGTTGAGGATATTGTTTTCCGCGTTGGAAGTTTGTACGATGGATTCAGCATGAATACTCATTTTTTGAACTCTGCATCCTCCACAACCGAAAATGGGTGGTATTCCCCCACAATCATCGTGACCAATTGATGATCAATTTCATGCTTCTTTTTAGTGGAAATTGGTTTGCTAAAATACTGCGCTATGGATGGACGCGGTTGAACACACGAAGCTGGCATGGCCGCCTCTGCAGTTTATTCTGTACTAACGCAATTGTTGTTGTTGTCGCTAACTATTGCTGGTGGATCTTGCCTCCTTATGGTTTCGCAATAGACTGAAGTTCGACTTATTCCCCACGGAGAGCACCTGGGCGTACAAGAGGCACTTAACTTTTCCCTCTTCCTCGGCTAATCGCTTTTCTTTTTTGACATTTTCTAAGTAAAAATGAATTGTGGTACATAGTAATTATGATCAATTGCATATCTTATTTTAATAAACACACTTACTCGTATACCAAATTTTGCCCAATTCAACAGCAAACTTTTTATAAATGCTTGGAATTACCTCTGCCAAACGCAAAACACAAGTAAACGGCAAAGTATCAAAAGCAAACAAAACTGTGGTTTGTTAAACTATTATTTAAAAAACAAATAATAAATAAAATTTTATAATTAAATCCATAGTTATAAAAAAAATTATATTTCTTGCTTCTGTCTGCTTATCTGCATAATAAAAAACAAACTTCTAGGGCTCCTAAACCACACAAAATCCTTGCGCAACCCGAGACTTGTACAAGTCAGTATTGTGGAAAATACTAAAGCATACAATTGTGCAAACCTTATTTTGAAGAATCGTTGCACGAGTAAAGATGTACAAGAAATATGAATGTGCGTTGTATATTTTGATAGCTTCAGCTTTAAAACGTAAAAAAAAAAATTTATTAAAAAAAGTATTTTTTTTTCTACGCTTTTATCCATATTTTACAGCACGATCTGGACACCAAAATCAAAACTAGACTAAAAATTTCGCAGTTGTCGCCATAAGCAGCACAAATTACTGTACAATAAATAACGCAAGCATGAGCAAAATATCAAAATAATTTTTATTTTAGCGCAATTACTATGCAATTAAGTACAAACAACCCCATACATAAGCTGACCAACCGTCCTCCTTTGAGGAGGATTGTCCTTCTCAAACGTGATTTGTCCTCCTCAAAAATGTTGTCCTTCTCTGTCCTCCCTTTGAGCAAAAACGTCCTCCTTGTCCTCCTTTTCAAGTTTTATAGCAGTAATGAAATTTAAAAAAAATTTCGTTCAGAATATTATTATTTTCTAATCGAACACATTCATTGTATTTAATAGGCGTTTACACTGTTCAAATTTCAGTTAAATGATGTAAGTATTTGATTCAACTAATCTCCTGTGAAAGTTGAACAGTGTGCCTTTTAGCCCTAATCAATAATATTTTACCCATTACAACATTGAAAGATTAGCTAACGACGCGTCTCCACAGACCGAAATTATTGCCTGCCATATGTCATTTTGTTTGCCAGATACATATGTATGTATAAGTTTTATCAGTGGCAGTGTGTATGGGGATTTTTTATCTTGATAAACGATTTTGTAAGACGGCTTAAAATAAGTATGTTCGTTGCATTGGAGCGCAAATCTGCTTAAACATTTTTAGAAAATGTGTTATTTCACATCCAAGTACATAATCAAAAATAGCACAGGCCTGTGTGGTTTTCCCCTTAAAAAATTAATTAGCGATTTGGGTATGTATAGGTACCAGCTACCAAAACGATGTTAAAAAATTTCGTCACGAATATTTTTTGAGAAAATGTTTCTTAGCGGTGCCGTGCATTACTAGGGTTAACTTCAAAATAACATAAGTCGCTCTGATTATGAGTTTTATTACTAATACTATTGGATTTTAAGTAATAAATCTCACCGTGCTAGAAAATAACCAGGGATGTATTTTAATTTAACATACCTAAATTACGGCTGCCATAATCCTGAACCCTGACTAAGACACTTATCCAAATTAAAAAAGAAGATACAAGTGAATATGGTGCCAATATATTCCCTATAAGTTAAGTTGCTTTGGTTCTGATATTATAAGCAATGTAAACTACATTGCTTGTGGCACAATCCGTAGAACTGAATGAAGTTCTGAATTTTTAATTATAAACGAACAAATTTATCTTGACGGTGACGTAATGTGGTCTAGAATGTTTTCCTAACCACTATTAGCGAATTTCCGCATATCCTATAATGCACTTCATGATAATTTTTGCCAATTTGTATATGCATAGCCTGAAGATAATTTAGGTACTGAAAAAAGTGCTTCCCTGCATGCTTCCTAGAAAGGCGTTATGTACCTATTTACAATTTACGCGAATATACTTAACCCGGCGGGAGTGAGGTAACAAAATGTTACAAAGAGTATGTGGCAGGGTAGGACATACCCGCAAAAATGTATTTGACATAGAATTTGCGGTAAATTAAAGGTGCTTTACTGTAACAGGCAATGTTGTAAGAAAAACGAAGTTATAAACTTTTCAAACAAAAATTTTGGTACTTTTAAAAAATCCACAAAAGATTAAAAGGAAACAGTATTAACAAAAAAATACCGCATACTCCTACATATGGCTTTTTCACATATTGGGATGATGGAATGTGGAGGTTCATTTATTTTGAATGAGATTCTCTGAAGAATAAATGCTGGAATATTACATAGCCAAGCGATGTTAGCAAGCATAAGCCCCACTGCAATCACGCCACAATTCTCTACCGCAGTGTTTTGATTCTAGCTACACTAAACAGATAAACGTTTGAATGACTAGAGAGAAAAATACACTCCGGGTTAAGTATATGTTTATATTACTTAACATTACAAATAAGATTCAATAGGCATTGCAAGTCTAAATCAAACTATTTGATATTAACCTTAAATAAATTCCTTAAAGAAGTATGATTTTTATAAATTAAGAAAAACTTTAAAAGATCTTCTTCAAACGGCGTCCTACAAAAGCCCTTCTGAAAACTCTTTTTTGAGTAGCGAAAGCAGAAGACTTTCAATTTTGTGCCGCTCCATACAAAAAATTAAGGAGAAAGGATAACTTTCAGAAAGGCCTTTTGGATAAGATTTTAGTTCCTGATATTATCTACGGGGCAGTATTTATGTATGACCCCTCAGTCGTGTACCTGTTCAGGAACTTGCACTTTTTGGCATTCACCTCAAAAAAAGATTTTAACCAAATAAACAAAACAGAAAGAAAATATTCAACATTTTAGAAAAAACGTTTTGTTATCAGTTTTCGACTACTAATGACAGAAGGCTTAACCTTTTTTCATAGCAAAAATCTGCTAAAAATTAGAGGAGTGTCTGCATTGACCTTCATTAAAAAATCAATACAATTTAAGGGTGGGCCAGGACTCCAGGACAATTTGTCTAAATCAGGACAAATCCTGTAAAACCAAAACGTCTGGCAGTCCTAACCTAGACATTAAAAAAATAACATAATTATTGGAACGGGGAAAAATTTGATTTCGCAAGCCAACAGCTATTTATTTTTAAATATTTTCTTATAAAAATTTAGTTCATTCTTTAACAAATACCATACAAATTCGCATTTAAAACTTTGTGAAAATATAAAAATTCAGCGAATTTTCGCCAAAATTTGACACTTTTTTAAGAATTTTGGGGAAAGTTTTGCGTATGCATTTTTATAGCCCATGCAAATTTTAGTATAATAAAGTGCGAGTTTCATATGTCTACAAAATATCGTCGAGTTTTTGCAGATTTTTACGGTGTCACTCATTTTCTTCCATACGAAGTATGTTCGACATTTTTTTTATATGGAAGAAAATTACCAACACTGTCAACAAACGAAAAAAAAAAAATTGCCAAAAATCAACGGCAACTTTGAATTGTTTTTTCTTCTTTTAACAATGTTAACTTATTCGTTATTTATGTGCTAAAATAAATGTAAAACATATATTTTGTGTTTTCAATATGGAAAATTTGTCCTCCTGGAATGCTAAAAATTCTGGTCACCTTACCCATACACCACCCAAACGTCCGTCGCAAGCCTGATATTGCGCAATGTTTTTGTGTGGTTTAGAGGTCCTATAACAGTGGCATGTGCAAAGAAATTCCGGGTTGTGTTTCCCTTATAAGATTACCAAATCAACTATGTTGTATGCAGTGTTGCCAAGTCTTCGGCATGAGAAAACGTCCCTCTTGGTATGAAAAAACCTAATTTCCTACCCAAAAACGTCTTTTTCAATTGAATGTACAAAAAAATGTTCTTATTAAACGTTTATTCTATACAAAGGTACATATCGAGAAAGAAAATTTTGTCGCTTACGTTATTTTGGCGGTTAGGGATCGATATGTACGTAATGTATATTAAAATGTCATTTCGGTAGAGCTAATTTAAAATTCATTGTAAACTGGTCGTTAATATAAAAATCATTTTATACATACACTTGTGATCAGCTGATTAAGTCATCAATATTTTGATCGAATTATTATTTTTGAGTGTGCAGTTTGATAGCCCATTAAATTTCAGGACAATAATGTGCAAGTTTAAAGAGGCAAAATAATCGCGTTGATTTTTAATAATTATTTTTTTCTTGTAGGCATTTGGTTAGGGGCTCAGTTGTCGAAAATGCTAAATTACGTTCTGCTAAGAAGGAGCATAGCAATAGGTCCATTCAATATCAAAAAATTGTTACGAATTGTTGCTAGTACTTGCAAGTTTTTACTGGGAATGCATTCAATAACCCAAAATATTTGCAAGAGGAAGCGACTTCGAAAGCGTAACAACCCGAGAGAGCTGCATATTCTTGCAAGTAAAAATTTTACTAGCAGGAATTTGCAGGAGTCTAAAAGTAAGGTTATGTTTCAAATTCAAATGTAAACAAACTGTTTAAGAGGATGATTTGATGAAACATAATTAGTGAAATGAAAATATAGATGAAAAATTTCAATCTATTGTATATTTTTTTATTTTTATGATGATGGGAACTATTCCCAATTAAAAAGAAAATTACGCGCCAAAACT